CAGATCTACTGGCCCATGCTAGGAGGTGGTCAGTCCTTCAGGCCTAAAGCACAAGTAGGTCGCCAGACCTACTGGCCCATGCTAGGAGGTGGTCAGTCCCTCAGGCCTAAAGCATAAGCAGGTGGCCAGACCTACTGGCCCATGCCAGGAGGTGGTCAGTCCTTCAGGCCTAAAGCATAAGCAGGTGGCCAGACCTACTGGCCCATGCTAGAAGGTGGTCAGTCCTTCAGGCCTAAAGCCCCAAGTAGGTGGCCAAAACCTACTGGCCCATGCTAGGAGGTGGTCAGTCCCTCAGGCCTAAAGCATAAGCAGGTGGCCAGACCTACTGGCCCATGCTAGGAGGTGGTCAGTCCCTCAGGCCTAAAGCATAAGCAGGTGGCCAGACCTACTGGCCCACGCTAGAAGGAGGTCAGTCCTTCAGGTCTAAAGCATAAGCAGGTGGCCAGACCTACTGGCCCATGCTAGGCAGGTCATTCTCATAACGAACCTTTCTCACTTGTCCGATTTATTTTAAACCTACCTAAGGTGTTACGATTACTGGAACGCTGTGATCTTGTAAGACCTTGAGTAAGGGAAAGGAACCAACAGTTTCATGGATCAGAAGCCCTTAGGCTAAGTTAAGGTAGCTTGGGTTAGGTTGAAACTAAATTCTATGATGTTAAAGTTAACTTAGGATGCTTCGTTAAATTTAGTGCATAGTTAAATAGATTTATACCACATTAACAAATTAAAATTTGTTCTAAATGGAAAGAGATGGAAATATCTATCTTAAGCTAATGTTTTTTTTATTAACACATCGGCCGTCTCCCACCAAGGCAGGGTGGCCCGAAAAAGAAAAACTTACATCATCATTCACTCCATCATTGTCTTGCCTGAGGAGTGCTTACACTACAGTTATAAAACTGCAACATTAACACCCGTCCTTCAGAGTGCAGACACTGTACTTCCCATCTCCAGGACTCAAGTCCAGCCTGACGGTTTCCCTGAATCCCTTCATAAATGTTACTTTGCTCACACTCCAACAGCACGTCAAGTCCTAAAATCCATTTGCATCCATTCGCTCCTGTCTAACACGCTCACTCATGCCTGCTGGAAGTCCAAGCCCCTCGCACACAAAACCTCCTTTACCTCCCACCCTCCAACCTTCCCTAGGCCGACCTCTACCACGCCTTCTCTCCACAACAGATTTATATACTCTTGAGGTCTATTTATACATTCTCGAATGTATATTTAAATTGTGTATATCTATGTATATACAGAGGTATATATTTGAACGTCTACACCGAAAGGTGTATGTCTCAGTGTATAATACCGGTTCTGCATCGATAAACAAGAGTTTTAATAACATACAAATCTTAATTTCACCTGCTGGTAATAGAGAGATATATTTTTAAAGGGGTGGACGAGTAAGCCAGTGGAAGGTCTTGGTCAGATGACCAGACACTCCAGCTGGGGGTAATCATATGACTAAGACCCGCTTCAGGACACACTTGTCCTGTTTCCTGACCAATCTTACCTAACTTCCACCTAACTTCGAGGCTAAGAGGAGGCGACCAACCTGTCGTTCATTCGCCAGGCTTTGCTTTGCCCGCTTCGCTTGGCCTAAACTCGCCACACACCTCCTGGCGAAGGGTGATGGCGAGATTATGGCTATTATCGCGCCAGTAGAGTCACTCCTGCACTGTAATCTGGTCATCACCCCTGACGTTCATGTGCTCGGTTTCAGAGGTAAGTTGTGGGGCGGGTAGGTGTTGGATGTGTGTTTGGGAGGTTAAGAAGAGACGTATTGCTAAGATAAATGGTAAAAAGATATGAGGAAAGGGGGAGATATAGAGGTGAAGTGGACGATACTTTGTCGTAACTCAGATGTGCTGCATCGTATAAGGATCATTTAATATTCATTATTTCTTTTACGATCGTATCCAATTTTATTTTCCTGACGTGTAAGCCAGAACGAAGCAACTCGAAGGTAGGAATAAAGTAGACTTTTACTCATCCCTACTCAAGTGTTCGAATGTGTGGATGAACACTCGGCTGGCTTGATCTAACTTGGTGAACGAGCTCAGTGTTCGAATCTGTGGATGCTGGACCAAGCGACCGATTCCCTTGATTCAACTGGATATATCCACAGCATCCAAGTCGGGGATGCAAGATGCACTAAATACTTTAAGTACTTAATTACATCCGTATATTATCAAGGTCACTTTTTTCCTCATTTAATTCGATTGTTCTCTGGAAAACATTTACTCAATGAATGTTTTCTCCACATTTTCTTCTCACAAATGAGTTTATTCTCATGTTCTGTGTTATGCATTTAATCACATGGATTATGCAGCTATATTTCTTAAATATAAATTATACTTTCGGGTTTTATAACTATAAGATATTAGTTTTTTCTATGATTCTCATAAAAATGGGATGTCTAGGCCTAACACATTAAATTTTCTGCTGGGAAGATAATATGGTTTTATTAGATGAATTAGACCTTATGCAATACTTGGGTGTTGGGGGAAACGTTTCGCCAACCAGTGGCTTCCTCAGTCCAAGACAGAGAAGACTGGTTGAAGATCAGGAGGAGTTTGAGTAATCAGTCCCTCAGCCTGGAGTCGATGTGATCAGTCTATCAGTTTTGACAAGAGTACAGTATATGTGCAGAAAAGAAGCTTATATACTGTATACAGGTGAGGTACAGCAGTTCTCTGAACCATTTATCTATATGTTTTATCTTCCCTACTGGTTAATGGGGTTGAAATCTTATAAGAACATAAATACATAAGAAAGGATGAACACTGCAACAGGCCTACTGGCCTATGAGAGGCAGGTCCAATTCTCACATGGCTTATGCCAATGCCTTGACCTAGTGAGGTCAGACACGTCACTTATAGATAACACGAGGGTCACCAAGGCTTCGTGTAACCTAACTATACTACGGGTGGGGTTAGAACTCGCGATCAGAGAGTCACAAAACTCCAGACCGTCGCGTTAGCCACTGGACCAGCTAACGACAATAAGATTCATCCAACAAGTTCCAGTGGCTAACGCGACGGTCTGGAGTTTTGTGACTCTCTGATCGCGGGTTCTAACCCCACCCGCGGTATGGTTTGTTTGCAATCGTGTCATTACGATTTCGTGAGTCCATGTAACCTGTTCACCACCAGTCAAGACTACTTAATCCCTAAAGAAGGCATTAAAAACTCACGAGTTGTACTGAAACACAACCACTTCACGTAAATATTAAATATTCATATTTTTACTGTTTTTAAATTTCCTGAGTTGCATGAGCCCTTAAATACTGAGTTGCGTGAGCCCTTAAATACTGAGTTGCGTGAGCCCTTAAATACTGAGTTGCATGAGCCCTTAAATACTGAGTTGTGTGAGCCCTTAAGTACTGAGTTGCATGAGCCCTTAAATACTGAGTTGTGTGAACCCTTAAATACTGAGTTGCATGAGCCCTTAAATACTGAGTTGCGTGAGCCCTTAAATACTGAGTTGCATAAGCCCTTAAATACTGAGTTGTGTGAGCCCTTAAGTGCTGAGTTGCATGAGCCCTTAAATACTGAGTTGTGTGAGCCCTTAAATACTGAGTTGCATGAGCCCTTAAATACTGAGTTGCCTGAGCCCTTAAATACTGAGTTGTGTGAGCCCTTAAATACTGAGTTGCACGAGCCCTTAAATACTGAGTTGCATGAGCCCTTAAATACTGAGTTGTGTGAGCCCTTAAATACTGAGTTGCATGAGCCCTTTAATACTGAGTTGCTTGAGACTTTACATACTGCGTGATGCCAGAGGCGTTCATCTAATGTCCTTTATTACTACAGAATACCTACCCCATTCAGCTTGAAATTTTAAACCCCTGGTCAGCTACTATCTTTCTGCAAGCTGCACATATGTATCATGCAGAAAGACATATTTTTATTTCTCTGCTGCAGAAAGTCAACATTCTGGAGAAAGTTAATGTTTTTAAAGAATTACTGACGGAGGCAGGAACAAACTGAAGTCAGTGTGTCAAGACACTCAGTGTGTCAAGTGTGTCAAGACACTCAGTGTGTCAAGTGTGTCAAGACACTCAGGATGACTCAAGCTCTTCATTGTATCGTAATTTTACTGTTGACAACAGCAAAGAAAAGCACTTCGAAAGGTTTTATTATGTCAGTGTTTCTCTGTGTAGGACGAGGAATGAGACACATGTGCAACATCTGGGTATCTTTATTTGTAGACGTTTCGCCATCCAGTGGCTATCAATACATGAACCATAAAAAAGGCACAATAAATGGTCCAAGTCGGACCGAAATAAATAAGAGCGAAACGTTGCCCCAATAAAACTTTTTATCTGCGAAATTGGGTCATACAGCTCCTAATTATTGCTTAAGAGATAGGCATTATCTTTTAAAATTAATAAGCATCTTTTGTATAGCAGACTCGCAACTAATGGACGGGGATTTAATTTCAGGCGAGTGGAGGGTTATGGACGGGTCTCCTTACACCTAATGCCTCCGTCCACCTAGAAGTAGGCATCTGGGTAGTAGGAGACTATTGTGGGTGGCATCGTTGATGGATGAGGGTATACCTAAGATAATCTTGAGCCTTTAAACGAGGCGAGATATCCGAGTATATTCCCGGGGCACCTGAGTACATACCCGGGGCACCTGACCCACTGTATATAGCCTGGTTCTATCTTCCTTAAATCCACCTCCTTTTGTCTCTGTTTCTCATCTCCTTCCACAAGTTATCATCTGTTTGTTATGTTTTATTTTTCTTATTTCGTCCCTCTATTGTTCTTACGTCTCTGTTTTGACAATCATTCTCTGGTTTCTCCTCTTCACTCTGAAGTGTTTATATTCTCGACTTATCAGGTATTTCCTTTTGTTTTTTTTTGCTTTTGTGTGTGTCAGTAACTCATTATTTTCACCTTTTGTTCAATACGTGATTGCTTCTCGTTATTTTATATTTTCCTTCTTCATACGTGTGGTTTTTCACCTTTCATTTATCTACATTTTCAGTGACCCCTGTGACGTCAGGTCAAGAGAAGGAGCCAGGAAGTGCCAGAGCTCCAAGAGGCACTGAGCAATCTTAACAGTGCTAGAAATCGCTGGTTGAATGGTAAAGATGAGGCTGTGGTGCCTGTGGACTTGTGGAGAACTTCAATATGAAGCCAACGACTTCAAAATTAGGCCGGTGACTTGAAAATTAAGCCGGTGACTTCAGAATTAAGCCGGTGCCTTCAAAATTAAGCCGGTGACTTCACCATTAAGCCGGTGACTTCAAAATTAAGCCGGTGACTTCAACATTAAGCCGGTGACTTCAACATTAAGCCGGTGACTTCAAAATTAAGTCTGTGACTTCAAAATTAAGCCGGTGACTTCAAAATTTAACCGATGACGTCAAATTTAAGCCAGTGCCTTTAAAATGAGATAGTAACTTCAAAATAAAGCCGGTGACTTCAAAATAAAGCCGGTGACTTCAAAATAAAGCCGGTGACTTCAAAATAAAGCCGGTGACTTCAAAATAAAGCCGGTGACTTCAAAATAAAGCCGGTGACTTCAAAATAAAGCCAGTGACTTCAAAATAAAGCCAGTGACTTCAAAATAAAGCCGGTGACTCAGTGTATCAAGGCAAATAAAAACCTTCACTAAAATTAATTTAAAAAAATACCTTCATATTAAAAAGACTAAAAAACATAAAAAAACATAAAACAGAAACGTTTGCTTTCAAGGCGAAGTTTTAACAGCTGTTTAAATTAATTGACATGCAGCTCAAACATTGTGTGTTTGGTGTTTTACTGTGCTAGTGTTGCCGTGAATTATGTATGAATTACGTTTGTGTAAACGACTTAAGTCTTGTGGGTGGAGGCTCGATCCTCAGGCCATTTTGCGCCAGCCACGATAACTAGCTGTACTTACCTGGAGACACACACGCGCGCCTCCTCTCAACAGGTCCAGGACCGAACATTAAAATGGTATAAAATACCGACAGGTTGTTAGGTAAGACACATATGCAACAGTTAGGTATCTTAATTTCGAAACGTTTCGCCTACACAGTAGGCTTCTTCAGTCGAGTACAGAAAAGTTGATAGAAGCAGAAGATACTTGAAGACGATGTAATCAGTCCATCACCCTTAAAGTTTTGAGGTGGTCAGTCCCTCAGTCTGGAGAAGAGCATTGTCGGTCCACCCAAGAAGCCGCTACATAGACTCCACCGTAATAACAAACGTGTTTGGGTCCGTAAGACTCGGACGCAAAAAAACGAGCAGTAAAAGCCGAGAGAAAGGTCACTGTGAAATACACGGGGTTTAAAAGACCCGGGAATAACGAACGTCTGCCACGTACGAAAGCAACGGAGGAGGAAGTGCGTGGTTCTGACTCTCACCGACGCTGGGCGCTTGAAAAGCTAAGTGTCTGACGAATGGGCGATTTCCTAGCCCTTAAAACGTGGCGTGAAGAATCGTCTATACACATTACTCTGATTATGCAAACTAAATGCAGATGAGAGTCAACGGTGGACAGCTGTTGCAGATACCATCTGCAACACACACATGCACACACATATACAACATTCACTCAAACGCACATGTCTACATAGTGTTAGACTGAATATATAACTGAACTACGCAGATGGTTGGTGTTGACGGGGCTCCCTCCGGCCTACATCTATATTTAATATTAGGCTGAGGTGCCCGAAAAGACTTGGGTACTTCAAGAGACTAATATTAGACATGCCCAAAATACTGGCATTAAAGTGGAGTAGATTCGTAAGTTTAGCACTAAAGTGAGAACCTTAAAAGGTCGGTATCTTCAGAGTGGAGGGCGCCCGCATTCCCGTACACAGCCTCTTCCCGATGGTGAAAGCGTGAGGCGGCCGCCCTCTGGCGGTAGTGTGGGCGTGAGGCGGCCGCCCATTGGTGGTGGTGTGGGCGTGAAGTGGCCACACGCCCACAAGAATGGATCATCTGCCACTTACCTTGATGCTGAAGCTGCCGCTGCTTCTGCTGTTTCTCTGCTGCGTGGCTCTCAACCTCGTCTGCTGCCTTAACATTGGTAAGTCCCATCTCAGGTTTCCTTTAAGGGAGATACCTGGAGCATTTGTATTTTCTCTGGCATCTTGACCCGTCAGACTGTTGCTGCTTGATTTTCGTAACACAATCAGAGGGAGAAGAGGTGTCCACATTAGTGTATTCATAGGGATGTGTCAAGTCCATCAGGGTTATGTCCCCAGCTCACATACTTAAGGACCGTGGTTAGATCCCCGGCACGGGTGGAGATGATGGGCATGTTTCCTTATATCTGTTAATCCCTGTTTAAATAACAGTAAGCAGGTACCAGGGTGTTAGTTGAGGGTGGTTCCCTAGGGAGTACTCACCAATATGTGGTTACAGCTCCTGGCCTTTGGAACGGGGTCAGGCAGAACAACAACTCTTACTTTGTAAATTTAACTATGAAAAGAAAAGAAATTAGAAATACAAAATAACTGAATAAGAACATAAAGGAGAATCTGCAAGAGGCCTACTGGCCCATACTAGGCAGGCCCTTCTCAAACCCAAACCCACTAACAAATATTTGTCCAACCCATTTTCAGTGCTATCCAAGCGAAAAGCTTTGGTAGCCCTTTTTAACTTATTTGCAAAGTCTACGTAAATCCAGCCCCTGTCACTCGGGTATTTATCCAACTTAAGTTTGAAGATACCCAAGGTTTTAGCTTCGATAACCCTACTTAGCAGACTGTTCCACTCATCGAAGGCACCCTCCTCGAAGGACAGATGTGTACAGGTGCTTCTCCCACAGCAGCAGCAGCAGCAGCAGCAGCAGCAGCAGCAGCAGCAGCAGCAGCAGCAGCAGCAGCAGCAGCAGCTTGCACGCCTCCAAGACGACTGTTTTGTTATGTTAATGCAATTTTCTATGGTTGTGGCCCATGGAAGTTCCATTATCTCTCGCCACTTTCTCTCACTCCCTCCTCTCTCTCGTTCTCTCTCTATCTATCTCCGATTTTCTCCCTCTCCTTCCCTTTATCTCCATCCCTCTCCATCTCCTTCTCGTTCTCCATTTCCATCTCCCCTCTCCCTCCCTCTCTCTCCCTCTCCCTCTCCCTCCCTCTCCCTCCCTCCCTCTCCCACCCTCTCCTTCCCTCTCCCTCCCTCTCCCTCTCTCCTCCCCTCCCTCTCCCCCCCCCTCCACTGAGACTGGTGCGTAAGATAGAAGTCGTTGGACGGGGTTTCATTCTTCGGCGATAACCGCCCGGGCCATTCACATACCGTCCCACCCTTAGTTCCTGGACCAACATGCTGGCTTCCGTGTTTGGGTGTGCTCTCTCTCTCTCTCATTCTCTCTCTCTCTCTCTCTCTCTCTCTCTCTCTCTCTCTCTCTCTCTTTTCTTTACACAGGATTTTACAAGGAGAGGTTAAGGTTCCTAACTTTACAAGCTAAGAGCCATTACCTACATCAGCTCATTGAAAATTCTCTCTCAAAGCCAGATCATACAAGAAATTAATCATGCCAATCTGTGTCATCATTACGGGGTACAGCATATCAAACCCAAAGGGTCTCAGGTTGATTGGAAAAAGAGTTGTAATCGCTGGAAAGAGCTCAGAGCAGCGGAGGCCAATGATTTTTCTGTTTTAGGAAGGTTTCTCCTTTTGAGTGTTCTTGCAATTGGATATGAGTGTGTGATTTTGCTCCCTTGAACGTACGTACGTGTGTGTGTGTGTGTGTGTGTGTGTGTGTGTGTGTGTGTGTGTGTGTGTTGTGTGTGTGTGTGTGTGTGTGTGTGTGTGTGTGTGTGTGTGTGTGTGTTCAGTGTTCAGTGGTCAGTCGTCACGTGAGGTCACAGACCCTGAGCTGCTTTGGGGATTAGCGTGGACGGTTACAAAGCATGGCTTGCTTCTGCAGTGTTTTAAAATCTGAGGTTGGAGAGTTGAAGGAGGAGGTCTTGCTTCTCCAGGAGGAGATTAGGAGGCTGAAGGTCCACCTCAAATGGGCCTGGGAGAGAGTGTGAGGTGGTTGGAGATGTGGGGAATGAGGCTTCTAGCAGTGGGGTGCATCTGTCTCTCACTGTGAGGAGGCTGTAGGTGGGGAGGTAGCAACGGCTACCAGCAGTGAGGTGCAGTCCAGCACCTGCTACAAGTGGCGAGTTGTTCACAGTAATGGGAGGCGCATCAGAGTAAGGAAAGTTTAAGAGTGAAGATCTGAAGGTAGGAAATCGCTTCTCTGTTCTCCAGGATGAATGTACTTCAGTGGCCAGTGAAGGTAAGGGTACTACTGCCCCTGCTAATGAAGGTAAGCGCATTCTTGTGGTTGGTGACTCTCAGGTAAGATATGTTGACCGTGCTTTTTGTAATAGGAATAAGAAGATGAGAGATAGAGTGTGCTTCCCTGGAGCTGGTGTTGGGGACATTGTCAACAGGCTGGATAATATCATGTCAGGTAATGGGAACAAGCCCATTATCTGTCTCAGTGCTGGTGGAAATGATATTGGGAAGGGTAGGAGAGAAGAGCTGCTAGATAAGTACAGGTCAGCTATAGATTTCATTAAGTCTAAGGGAGGGATCCCAATCATATGTAGCATCTTGCCTAGAAGGGGAGTAGGAAATGAATGGTTGTCTAGGGCAATTGGTGTAAATTGCTGGCTAGACAGATACTGCAAGGAACTTGCAATCCCATTCATTGACAACTGGAACAACTTTTATGGCAAACATGATATGTATGCAAGGGATGGGGTACATCTCTCTGGGGCAGGGGTGGTAGCACTTGCAGACTCGATTGAGAAGGCCATTGGTGAAATGCCTATGATTTTAAACTGATGGAAGATAGAGGTATGGGTGTGTGTGGGAAACAAGCAGGTTGCAACACTAGGGTTGGAAACAGTAAATGTATAAAAGGCATTCAGCATGAAGTTATAAATAAAGACAATAGAACAGGTCAGCAAACAAAGGGGGACAGCAGAGGGCAGCAAGGGACTAGCTCCCTTAAGGTTTACTATACTAATAGCAGGAGTGTTAGAAATAAGATAGATGAGCTAAGATTAATTGCAAGTGCAGGAAACATAGATATTATTGCTATAACAGAGACCTGGCTCAATCTGAAAGATAGAGAGATGCCCTCTGAATGTCACATACAAGGCTATAAATTATTCCACACTGACAGGGTCAACAGGAAAGGTGGTGGAGTAGCGATGTATGTCAGAGACAATTTAAATTGTTGTGTTAGACAAGATATTAAATTAGAAGCGTCAGCCACTGAATCTGTTTGGTTACAGCTTCTCGAGGGCCGAGAAAAACTAATTTTGGGTGTGATTTACAGGGCCCCAAATCTTGATAGGGAGTGCAGTAAACTTCTATGGGACGAAATTCGTAAGGCATCTACATACGAAAATGTTGTGCTAATGGGAGATTTCAACTATAGACAGATTGACTGGAGCAATTTGACAGGAAATTTAGAGTCGGGTGACTTTCTTGATACGATCCAGGATTGCTTTTTAAAACAGTTTGTGACAGAGCCAACTAGGGAAATAACCTCCTTGACTTGGTTCTTGCCAGTAGGGAAACACTAATTAATAATCTTGAGGTTAATGATGAGCTTGGGGAGAGTGATCACAAATCACTCAGTTTTAACATATCATGGAATTCCCCTAATAATGGCAATCTAGTCTCCGTCCCTGACTTTCGCTTGGCTGATTTCATAGGACTGAAAAATTACTTAGGTGGGCTGAACTGGAATGACCTGACTAAGGGTCAGGTAGGTGGTGATGGTTGCCGATATGATGCTTTCCAGGGCATAGTTCTAGCTGCTCAGTCAAATTATGTTCCAAATAGGGAAATCAGATCAAACAAAATTGATCCTAAATGGATGAACAATAGATTAAAATATCTGATTGGTCAAAAGAGAGGCATATATAGGCAAATCAAAAGAGGAGAGGGGCAATTAAGAAATCGATATATTCAGTTAAAGAGAGAAATAAAAAAGGGAATTAGAAAAGCAAAAAGAGATTATGAGGTTAAAGTTGCAAGAGAATCGAAGACTAACCCAAAAGGATTCTTTCAGGTATACAGAAGTAAGATCAGGGGCAAGATAGGCCCACTCAAAAGTTCCTCGGGTCAGCTCACTGACAGTGATAAGGAAATGTGTAGAATTTTTAACACATACTTCCTCTCAGTTTTTACACAGGAGGATACCAGCGATATTCCAGTAAGATAAATTATGTAGAACAGGACGATAATAAACTGTGCACCATTAGGGTCACAAGTGACATGGTCCTTAGGCAAATAGAAAAATTAAAACCTAACAAATCCCCAGGCCCTGATGAACTGTATGCAAGGGTTCTAAAGGAATGTAAGAGGAGCTTAGCACACCTTTGGCTAATCTTTTCAACATATCACTACAAACTGGCATGGTGCCAGATAAGTGGAAAATGGCAATGTGATACCTATTTTCAAAAAAAGGTGACAGGTCCTTAGCTTCGAACTATAGACCAATAAGCCTAACCTCCATAGTGGGGAAAATTTATGGAATCAATAATTGCCGAGGCAGTTCGTAGCCACCTTGAAAGCATAAATTAATCAACGAATCTCAACATGGTTTTACAAAGGGGCGTTCCTGCCTTACGAATTTATTAACTTTTTTCACTAAGGTATTTGAGGAGGTAGATCATGGTAATGAATATGATATTGTGTATATGGACTTCAGTAAGGCTTTTGACAGGGTCCCACATCAGAGACTATTGAGGAAAATTAAAGCACATGGAATAGGAGGAGAAATTTTTTCCTGGATAGAGGCATGGTTGACAAATAGGCAGCAGAGAGTTTGCATAAATGGGGAGAAATCAGAGTGGGGAAGCGTTACGAGCGGTGTTCCACAGGGGTCAGTGTTGGGCCCCCTGCTGTTCACAATCTACATAAACGACATAGATGAGGGCATAAAGAGCGACATCGGCAAGTTTGCCGATGACACCAAAATAGGCCGTCGAATTCATTCTGACGAGGACATTCGAGCACCCCAGGAAGATTTGAATAGACTGATGCAGTGGTCGGAGAAGTGGCAGATGCAGT